GAAAATATCTTTCAAAAATGCCTAAATCAGCATAATACAAACACATTGAATATCATCTACCGTCGCAGTTTATTTTTTTTTGTAAATTTTTGTAACTTAATGCAGGTTTCTTGCTGAAAACCGCACCCTATTCATTGCCTAGATATAGATATTTTCCACAGTTTTCATAATCACACTTTTTACCTAACATAGTAGATTTTATTGGCACTGAATATCTTCGTAAAAAAATCTAATCAGTTCTATCCTTTTACTAGCATTGTCGTACTCATTTCCTTTGATGTCATCCTATGCATACACGCGGCAAAGAATACATGTTTTAGATAGAATCATTAAAAATGTCATAAAATGCGAAGGACTAAATCAACCATTCATCAGCGACTCATCTTTCCTATTAGGAAGGAAGGCACTTACATAGTAGGTCAACTTGACTCACAACCAACCAACCCCATTTCTTGTTTTGTAGCGATGAAAAAAAAAGAAATTAACTTTATACAAGCGTAGATGCTTATTTTGATTTTTGTAATTTTCACGTAAGACAAAAGGCGACTTATCGCTATGTCTCCTATTTGTAAAGAATAATAAGAGTGCGATGCAGAGATGAGTGTTGTCTGAGATTAATGACCTTATGTAAATAGCGCGCAAGTCAAAGAGAATACGACTATCTTTCCTATATAATTGAGAAATCAATAGTCTAGGCTATATTACTATATGCTATTTGCCTCTGCTTCACTGGTAAGACACCGAGTGAATGCTTCTTCCTCACATCGGCAAACTTTAAAATAAGATAGCTGTAGATAAGAACAGGTCACTTTCAAAAGGAATTCAATCACAAATTTTCAAAAAATAACAAGAATTTCATCGAGGAAAAAATAAACCTGAAGGAACGTAGAAACAAAATTGGGACATGAGCCAGATTTCTGCATTTTCTTGAACTCTACTTGTTATTTGATTCCAAATGAGGTCATTTGAGCCATTTGAACTTATAGTAAGCAATCACTGATAGTAGAAGTGTTACTGTATAAGGATATTTTACATTATTTATCTGCTTTTGTCCCACTTTCTCATGGAACATCACTAGAGCACAACGGGCCCTTAGAGTTTGTATAGCGTGACAAAGCCGCACAGCAAACTCGCCAAATCTAATGCGTCATGAGGATAGACATTGGAGTTAATAGAAACATCTGAGAGGAATTACTCGAGGAACTCAGAGTTTCTTCTTTTGAATATGAATTTTTAGAAGAACTTCAAAATCCGTAGAGCGTTGGAAAGAATGACACTGTTGAGCATACTACTTCTAGTTCATAAATCACAATAAACTGTCAATTTATACGCGCAAGTAATTCTTAATATTTGAAAAAAATTGCATAAATTTTTGCACGAATGGTTGTTAGGCGCAGTTGTTAGCTAAGGAATTGAAGTTTCGAACTTATGAAGCTATCCCTAGATGTTTTTTATAGCGAAAGTTTTATAATAAGTAATTATTTTTTGCTGTTGGAATCTGCAGACAATTTATCAAATTCTCTTAGTAGGAGATTTGTAGGAGAGATAAGAACTAGGATCAGAGGACTTGATCAATAAAGACGATGTAGAACTGAACCATAGAAATGATGATCAACTCGAAATAATCAAATAACTCAAATAGTATATATGAAAGTGGTGAATTTACCAGAAAGTTTTCAAGGGTACTGAAAAGATAGGGTGTTTAAAGGAGATCGTCAAGAGAATAGAACAACTTGATTACTTCACGCAAAAAAATGTAACAAACCTCTAAATTCACTCGGCACCCAACATTGTATAGGAGATCCAAAATATTGCTTTGCAGATATAGCCAAAGCGAAGAAGGAGAGAAGAATTGAGGTCACATAGTAGTTGAGGTAATCAACGGAATCAGCAACCTTCAAAGAAAAAGAAGGTTGTCTAATACAAATATTTAGAACTGCAAATAACATACCTTCTGCCTTTTAACAGTTTTCTGGATGAACCTGCTTAAGAATGGGATATTAAGCATAGTCCACCGATGCGAAAGGCTGTAGGCTGCAAAACGTATGAATTCGTTAAGGGGTAAATTTGAAATAAAGTGAAAGGTAGAAGAGATATATGATAATAAAAGCAGATATGCAAGATAGTGGAGGAAAGAACTTAACCGCCAGAGGATTGTTTTGAGTTGGTGACATAGAAATGTACACAAAATGAAATTACACTTTTTGAGTGGGATCTGTGCTTGAATCAATGTTACAATAAGAGCCATTAGTCAAAAGAATTTCTAAAGCTAAAAAAGTTCAAATGTGAAGTTGAAACTCTAAATCTGATCAAATGAAAATGTTATTTTTTTGTAACAGCAAAAAATGGAAAACAAAGATGGCTAAAAACGATTAGCTTGCTGGGCAAGAACAGAGCGTTAGTCGCAGAGGTCAGTAGCGCAAGAGGTCTCTGGCACAGACCGCGATGGGTCAGCCATCCAAGCACGGGCTCTACGTGTGCCGGAGCAGTCCTCACCGGCCCCGACCCAGTTATTCGAATCAATCTATTGACAATACGGAGCTCTACGCACAATGAGAAGTGCGGCTTGATGGCAAAATTATTTGATTGAGACGGCGATGAAGTTTGAGAGAAAATTAAGCTCCGGCATTTCGCGGCTTTGCTGCAGTTGGAAAACAGGTTGCTCGGAGAGCTGCACGAGTTAAAATGATTAGGATGCTGAACAGTTCAAAATTATTGGGCAAATCAAAGCTGATTTTATCAATTTTTCTTAAAGTTTTCATCTCTTCATTAGTCAATAAATCCAGATATATCTGTGATAACTCTGACAGTTCTCCTAAGTATTTATTAAGGGTTAAGCGAAAAAGCCGAAATATGAACACTTACGAAATTTCGTAAATTAACCATGGTAGCGCTCAAGTGGTACAAGACACCCAATCATTACATCAATGCTTAGTTATGCATTGACCATTTTGATAAAATTTCTTTTTTACTATGACTCTGCGTTTTTAGTAGAAACTGCAAATATTAAACTAATTTTTATGAGTGAATCCTAATTTTCGCATTCATCTTAATTGTTTACAGTAGCGAGATCCTTTTCCGCATACTAAGTAATATGAACAAGTAGAT